ATGGCGGCAGCGACTTGGGCGCGGCGGAGATGATCTTTCGCGGCCCCGAGCCCAGGGCGGCGCGGCCGGAGTGGGCTGGGGTCCCGATGCAGGCCCGAGGGGGGCCATGGGGCAGGTCCTGCCGGTCTTCGCCCACTGCAGTGAGTATGGGCTGGTGTGGGGCCTGGTGTGGGGCCCAGAGGCCCGGGTGGGTCCTCCCCGGTGTCCCCTCCGCGCCAGTCCTGGGGAGAGCCAGGCTGGGGGAATCAGACAAAGGAAGAGCTCCCCTCCCCCCCCCACCCCCAAACTGCACCTCCCGCTCTGGTAGCGACCCAGCGCCCTGACCCGGAGGACCGGGTGAGATGGGGCCAAGGTGGGGGGCGCTGACATAGCTGGAGGGGGGGATCCCGTTGGGTGCTCTGATACGCTGAGGGGCCCCCCGCCTGGAGATGGCCTAGTGCATGGGGAGCTGTCCTCCCGCCCTGGTGCTGCCCGCTGCCGGAGGAAATGGGGGCGCCTGAATCGAGAGGCAGAGCCAGCATGCAGGAGCTGAACCTAATCTCCTCTCCCATTCCGCTCACCCCCTCTTCTACCTAGATTCCGAAGCGACCTGGACCTCCCCCAAATCGTTCAACCCCCTGTCCTGGGCAGCAAGCATCCCTGGGTTGGGCTCTGCACTCCTTAGTGGTAACCCTAGGATAAACCCCTTGCTGGCCGGGGTCTCCGATTCCCCAGCCGAGTAAACAAGGTGGGGCGAGGGTGTCCCGAGTTCATTTCTAAACGTTATCGACCATATCCTATAGGCCAAGCCCGGAGCTAGCTCCGAGGGCTGGGTTCCCAAACTGAAAGCTGCTGTGTCGAATCCTCAGGATCCCACTACCTCGAACAGTCTGGTTTTTAGCGTCTGACAGCTGGGGATCCCAACATCCCCAGATCCAGCCACTCGTATATACTGAGAATCCAGATGCCAAAATTCTAAGAATTTGCTATTTCAATATTCTAGAGCATCATCCAACGGTCTTAAGAGCTTGTCCTCACATGACCTGCCTCTCCTCCACACCATCTACTTACCTTCACCTCCCATCTCTTTCCCCCTCAGTCACTGTGCCCTACCTTCCAAGCATAGGACCTGCCTGAGGGCCTTTCCACTGGCTGTTCCCTGTGTTTGAAATGCTCTTCCCGAGATACATGGCTTCCTCGATTCATTCAGGGCTTCTGCTCAGATGTCAACTTATCAGAGAATCCTTCCCAGCTACCTGATCTGAAAGAGCACCCTGACTTTCTTACGCCTTAACATACTTTTTAAGTGTACTTTATATATTGAAGCGGGGTAAAGATGAGGCGTTCTATTCTCATAAAGAGTTGCAGGCTAAGAAACTCACAGAGGCAATTCTACCCTGTCCGGTTTGCCTTAATGTTTTTATAAAGTGGGGGTGGGCTGGTGGGTTTTTTCTTTGTTTGTTTGTTTTTTAATTTTTTTTTTTGCATGGTGGGTTTTGCGTTGGGCTGCTAACCACATGCCCAGCCATTTGACCCTGAAAAGTGAGGCTTTCTACTCCCGTAAAGATTTACCGCGTCAAAACCCCACAGGGGCTGCTTGTAATTTGTCCTAGGGGGTCGCGATGACTTGATTGGACTTGGACTTGATTGCAGTGAGGTGGATGTCTCAAATTTTTACTCAACATCGTGTGTCTTGGTATTGTCTGACCTCCATACACAACAGAGTGTGTATGATCTCCATGAGATCAGAGATTGCATCTGCTTCGTTCACGGCTGTATCCCCACAGTAGAACGTGGCATGTAGTAGGTGCTCAATGAAAATGTGATTGTAAGGATGCGTGAAAATTGCAACCTCCTAAGATTCCTAATTGGAGGGGGGAAATTGAGGAGCTGATATCAAGGGCTCAAGTAGAAAGCAAGAGTTTTGTGAATGAGGATGGCAACAAATGTACAAATGTGCTTGACATAATGGATGTATGTGTGGATTGTGATAAGAGTTGTATAAGCCCCCAATAAAATGATTTTTAAAAATAAATAAACAAGCAAAAATTCTTCTTTATTTTTTAAAACAACAACAACAAAGGTTCCTAATGGAAGGATCCTAAGATTGCATCCACTGGATTTCAACTACAGGTGGCAATTATGCTAAGTTTCTTTCTATATGCAGCAGGTTCTAAAGGTCCTGTCACTCAAGCATTGCAAGATCCCTTAATTTGGATCACCCCAGCTTCCAGAGCTAGTGCACTTGTGTGTCTAAGGGTCTTGCTTTTTTCCCTCTCGCAGAAGAAGCACCCTCCACAGCCTCCTCTACCCCTGACTCCACAGAAGGCAAGTGAGGCAGGGGAGTGGGGTGCAGGTGGGTGGGAGGGGAAAAGCCTGAAGGGTGTTCACAGTTGGGTAGAGAAACTGGTGTGTGTGTGTAGGAGGGGGGGGAGGCGGTCTTCCAGGGTCCTGCTTCCTGGAGCTCATAGCTCTCTATTATGATTCAGTGCAGGAGGGAACGACGACTCTGATTTTCGAGAGCTGCACACGGCCCGGGAGTTCTCGGAGGACGACGAGGAGGAGACCACGTCGCAGGGCTGGGGCACCCCTCGGGAGCTGACCTTCTCCTACATCGCCTTCGAAGGCGTGGTGAG